TGTATAGGTGCCTAACGTTATCTGGCCTTAAGCGACAAATCAGAGTCTATTAGACAAGACTGATAGGTCTCATTGTTCGCAGACGATGTGAAAAAATTATCAGCTCATTATGGACGCCTCATAACTTGAAATTCTCATAAATTTCATCGGAAAAGCTAGCACGACCTCTACATTTATGAGTTGGAGCAGTCTAATGAGCGAGCAGTGTTAGATTGTGGAATGAATATCGAATAAAACAATCCCTCCAGCGATCGATAGGACCTGGTTCATCTAGACACAAAACCTTTTATCGTGGGGGGGAGGGGACTTTTCTTAACTGACGAAACTTTGAAGCAGGTTTAGCGGAGTCGTATTTATACATAATTTCGAAACACAAATTCTTCTCGAGTTCTCCAATTTCTGTAGGAAGAAAAGTCTACAGAAATTGGGGAAGGCGGTCATATGGCGCGATCAAGTTAGCACTCTAGCTGCAGGTCGTAATTGCCACCTGCTGCAGGTGGACAGCTCGCCCGAAAACTCGAACACCAGACTTCAGCGATTGATCGTTCTGATAAGATGAGTCTCGAAAATCTCGTCAAGTCTCAAAATTTTAAAAAAGAGCGGATTGCTTGTGTTGGCCTGGTTCCCTGGCAGCAGAAGCGGAACGAAATTTAGTGCGCGGACGAGTTGTCCGGTCACGATAGAATGTGGCAGTTACGGCCGTGCGTCGGACGCCGTCCAATGCGAATGGGATTGCGACATATGACGCATGCCCGAAAATTTTTGTAACACTCCCAATTATGTGTTCCCCATGTTCCCAAAATACGAGTCTCATTGCAAAAATCTCAGTGGACAGTCTATCTTGTGTGCAAGTCGTCCAAAGATTTCTCGGTGCGAGAATGTCACATCGCGAAGGACACCCTCGCCTCAAATGACCAGAAATTGTGCAATTGCAGAAATTGACGTGGCATTGGCACACGTGGCTAAATTCTCGATGAAAAGGTGACATCACGTGTGCTCAAAGATGTTCTTGAATCGATGCCACGTTAATGCCACGTCAATTTCTGCAATTGCACAATTTCTGGTCATTTGAAGGCGAGGGTATGTGGCTGGCGCTTGCGGCGTGGGCCGGCAGCTCTCTCGTCGGTACGCGCCATGCATTCCACTTTCACAAGGAACTACTGCAGTATTCGACTACTCTGCATCCGCAGAATTCCCCATCATCCAGCAATTGTCATTCCCACTTGGTTTAGCTTGAGCAGATGCACATCATTCGGTGAGGAATCGCAGTTCCATTTCTTGAGTTTATTCTTTGCATAACAGAGAGAAGGGCTTAAAGACGCTGAGGCAGTTGAGATATCAGCTGCTGTTTGCACGATTGGTGAGATCGAGCTTTGCCTATCCTAGTCAGTCACAGCCCTGTCTCGGGAATAACTTGGAACGAAGCTTTCCTGCATTTGTTCGATTTTGCATAATTGCTCTATAAGTGATTTGACAGCTTTGATTGCGGAATCGCCCACAAAGTCGTCCAAAAGTGAACAATTTTACATTACCATGCTTTCCGCTCAATAAGGGCAATTTTATTTTTAGGTTCATAGTTAAAAGGCACGGGTCGCGGCTGAATTTGTGTGGCATTTTGTCCTAAATTCTAAGAAGTGCGAAGAGGAACGTCAATGAAAAAAAGCAGAGGGCCTAGAAAACATTGAAATTCTTGTGCGGTCGAACATGGTATGACGGAAAGACAGGGCCGCCCGGATGCGAGGCAGAGGGAAAACGCGCGAGCCGCGTCGTATGCAGAACGCATTCTCCACGTTATTTTGCCGCGCGCGGGGCGCGGCGGGGCGGGGGGGGCGGGGGGGGGGCGGGCGGGCGGCCACGATCGCAATGACAACCGCATCGATTAGAATCGCGCCAGCAATCGTGAGGTGGACATTAATAGCGCGACCACATTTCGCATCAAGAGAGGCAATTTTCCCATCGTGTAGTGGCCGGACAACTCGTCCGCATCACTCAACAATTAGATTTCAGTAATTGATCGATCTGATATTTGGGTCTTCAAAACATCGTTTAGTCTCGAAAGATATAAGCAAAGAGCGGACAGCTTCTGCTGGCCTGATGCCAAGGCAAGAGAAACGGAACGGAGAATGAGTTGAACGGACAAGTTGTCCGGCCACAGCGGAATGTGAGAAGGCATCAGCTCCCTTCGCGCACTTTCAAGTCGAGACAGCCCCAGCCCTGTGACTAGGGGTCCTGCTACCTCAATCAACGAGGGAATTTTCTGAAGAATTAATCCTGACCCATGCCTTTAATTGGTCATTTCTCCGCTAATCGTGTTAAAGGAATCCTCTCCGGAAAAATCATGATTCAATCTCACCCGTAAATCGCATGGCTTGAGACCCATCATTTACGACGAACTAAAAGAACAAGAAAATTGCGTTTGCTTTGTAAGCAATTCGAGAAATCGGAAGGTCTGTTATGCGTTCAAATTCGCGCCGTATATGCTGTCACAGAAATGCTGGCGCGAACACTTCATCCTGGTTCTCGAAATACACCGCTCGATAGAACTACTTCGCTCCTTTTTGACTTACTACTACATTTACATACACTTCCACTGCATCCTATGTACTCGTTCTATCGATCGTTTTGTCCCTATTCTCTAAATCAGAAGCTTCGACACGATTCCCTCAATGTTTCGCCTGAAACGTGGCCGACCCAGGGCGCAGTTCTTTCCATGCTCCGCGCGACCTACCTTCAACCGTCCATAAGTGTGATATTCGTAAGTTTTTCTTCAGAAACTGAATCCTCGTGCGTGAAACTTCGCATATTGTCTCTAGTAATCACAACTGACATGTTCATGTTGGGAAAGAATGCAAGAATTCTCCGGGAACGATTCCGTCAAACGCATAGTCCTCACCTCTGCCCGAATCCCAAACTAGATCTTTTTCCCGACTCAATGTGCATACACGTATCTTTTCGCATTTTCACGTATCTTGCAACAGGGAAAATATCATGTTGTTTAATTTTTTACTCAGTGGGAGACTGCTTTGATGCTAGCCATCTGGTCTAGGGTCGCTGGATGGTTTGCTGATTGGTGAGCTAGTTTTTGGGCCGCTTTTCCGGGCTCATATTTCCTCCCCTCCTTTCAAAAAAAAGGGAAAAAAAAAAAAAAAAAAAAAAAAAAAAAAAAAAAAAAAAAAAAAAAAAAAAAAAAAAAAAAAAAAAAAAAAAAAAAAAAAAAAAAAAAAAAAAAAAAAAAAAAAAAAAAAAAAAAAAAAAAAAAAAAAAAAAAAAAAAAAAAAAAAAAAAAAAAAAAAAAAAAAAAAAAAAAAAAAAAAAAAAAAAAAAAAAAAAAAAAAAAAAAAAAAAAATTTATAGAAAAGAAAAAAAAAAAAAACATGAATGTCGAAGCATGCGAGGGAAGCTATATACACCGCCGTGAATGTAAATTCTGGAGAAAATGTAAAGTACATACACGATTAAATATTTTCAGTTGTAATTCCGTGAGTACAAAAGTGAGGAATCAGAGAAAATACTTCCTAACATAGAAGCTCTTGCTGAAAGCAAAATTTAGAAAATAATTCTTGGTGCTAACTTAGTTGGGGGACCACGCGGCGGCGCGGCGCTCTGTTCGTCTGCTCCTCTAAGGCTTAGTCCAAGGGGCAGTTACTATTTCGTCGCCACGTGGCAGTTTCGAAATACGCGCCATCGGCGGACTAAGCCTTGGAGGAGCAGACGAGAGCGCGCCGCGCCGCGTGGTCCCCCCCCCAACTAACTAAGTTAGCACCCATTTCTTCAGTTAGACCGTAAATTCTATAGCACTTCATGAAAATAGTTTTACTAACAAATTTCGGGTGCAATACAAGTGAGATGGGCACGCCGTGTTTTTTGGATACGGTAGACGCGAATGTGTGTAAGTGGAACTGCTGCCCGCTACTATGTCGTGACGAGACGCTGTGCACTAACGCACACATTCCAGCTTTCCATGCAAGTCAAGTGACTGCCTCACCCCCCAACCCCTTAGACTGGCTCCCCCTGGCACACGAATCACTTGGGCGCCGTATTCAATCCTCCACCAAGGTGTTGGGCGATGGAAACCCCTTTAAATTGCTTCTTCATTTTCAGAGGATGTTTACTTTGACCAACATACATACATTAATGTGGCCCTTTATTACCGAGATCAATCTCAGTTGGGAAGGCAGAGATTTAAAGAGATTTTCGTCCGCCAACCCCCTTGGGGGAGGATTAAATCCGGCCCCCGTCCTCGTGACACCATAGTGGCGTGCAGCAGTCCCCACTTACGTACACATGTTTTGCGCCCACCGTATTCAAAAAATACGATGTGCCCATCCCACTTGTGTTGCACCAAATTTCGTCTTACAAACGATGAAAACAATACAAATTAAATTTGAAATTTGGAAGGCAGCAACCGTGGTAAAGCAGAAAAGCATCTTCGCTCGTTACATGTTTGAACCCTGTCGCCTCTCGCTGGGAAGTCGCCGTGCTTCGATTTCGTGGATCAAACGTTCCATCGACATAAGAGCTCACCATCAGGCGGCCTTTCTTACCTTGTAAGTTCCACCCACCTCAATGGCCACGCCCATACACCAAGACAACAAAGAAGAGCTAAAACTTGTCCAAGTGCCCATTTCTTTTGTACCCTCATGTTACAGTTTGAAAAACGACTAACTTGCACATGGAGCTGTCGTTTCACGTACTTTCTGCATGTCTTGTGCTCTTCACAAGTGACGCATAAAATAGCGCCCGTACTCCTGTTTCCATGCGCTTCTGCCCCTCTGCTTTACCAGCTGGAAACTGTCTTCAAGTCACCCCATTAGCCAAACAATTAGGCTTTGTTGGGTTGGAACGAAAACTTAATAAAATCTGAATGCGTCCTTATCCATAGTTGAGCATCTGGAGATACAGAGAAAGAAATACCATCAAGAGGAAAGCTAGTGTGGATTATTCCTTGGATCTCCTCATTCCTGCTGCCCAGGCCCTAGGGTAAAGCAACTAACCAATAATTATATTCCGTCAACGAACAGACAAATATGCTTAACACTTACTGCGAAGTACGACTTCAAACCGTCCAAAGTGATCATGTTCGGTGCACCAATTTCGAAATCAATGGCTGCCAATTGTCTGAGGATATCGTCGTCCATTGGGATTGGAATTGAGTGCCAATCAGAATCACTCAAATATGCAACACAAAAGCATGGCTTTGACATTATAAATTGTAACACCTCTAGACTGATTAGTTCTCGAGAGCATCCTCTGATGTTCTTCAGGACGACTTTGTTGGGATTGACCTTGCGCAGGAATCGGAGAAGCGTTGAAGAAGTGACGTCGTCCATGCGTGTATCTTTTATCTCTAAGGTATGGATTTGACAGCCTGGTGGTAGACGAGATGAGATCGACACTAGAAGATCTTCCGTCACCGGATACTGAAGTAATAAATAATGAAGAACAGAGAAGTTTCTACAAAATCACTATTTGTGGTCGATGTTATTTGAAGTTTAGAAATTTCAGCAGTGGATACTGTAGGTTGAAAAGTAAGCAACAGCAACAAGCTTTCATTTCCTCCAACCTCTGTCATCAACAGATGATGAACTTCAGCATGATCGAGAATCTTGGAAAGGCACCACGGAATTGCATCGAACAACCTCACATTCGGCTCAAAATACTGGAAGTATCAAGAAATGATGTGAATCAAAAACATTTAGAAATGTTCTTCGTTGATAGTCTAGTTGAATGCGTGTGAATCACTAGGGCAGAGAGCGACTGTGCACTATTCCAATTACTGCCCCGAAAATCTCAAAACCTTTTCTTCGTCGAAACTTTCCTTATAGAGGTCAATTCGATGCCCTGATTACGAATATAATATTGACCTTTGACGCTGGAGCCATTTGGGGCCAGCTGGCGTCTTCTTGTCATGATGGAATTGGCGCAACATGATGCATCTTTTCTGCTCTACTAGGGTCTCACTAATAATGTCCAACGCTAAGTCCGTCGTCACACTCGGCGACGGACAAGCGATGGAGCGACCGCGATCGCTCCATCGCTTGTCCGTTGCCGAGTGTGACGGCAGTATGAGGTCTTTATTGAGGTGGGACTACAAATTGGTAGATTACCCATATTGATCAGAAGTTGTGTTGTTGGTGTAAGAGCACATGGCGAGTGGCTTGCTCACCTCTGAGTGAGACAAGCCCTCCTCCCCTCAAAAGGTTAGTCGTGATCGCGATCTAACCAGTGAGACGGCGCAGACGAGCAGAAAACATGCGTAAAGTGGCACCAGCGCGGAAAATGACTGTCATATTCATATTCAAGACACCAAATAATCCCTAATATCCTCGGTCGTCCTATGTGTAATGTCGTATTTATTCAAACAGAAAAATTCCTGTTGAAAATCCATTGTTTTGTATCGAGTTGTATAACCATTTGGGAGTCTGCCCTCGCTTCCAAACTTGATGGCAGGGTTTTTATCTTTTAGGCCTACGAAATGTGAGGTCCAAACAAGGAAAAGTAGCCTAACCGAAAGCTGGCCCCCCAACTCAATATTCCCCTAAGAGGAATTGTCAACTATTGACCGTCTGCTTAGTCACAACCTCCCCTAATCGCTATTAGTCTTCTCAACAACTCGCCCCGCTCCTTTGCTAGATTTGGTTTTTCAACCAGAACTCGACGGTCGAGCACCATTACTTGAAGATCTAGGTCCAAAATTTTTTATGGCCGAGACATTGAAAACTAGTGGAATGTTAAGAACAAGTCATGTACTAAGTTAGGAATGTGTGCCTGGTTGCGTCTTCTCCGGGAAATTTTTTTTCTCAAAGCAATGTGGTCGTTTTAGTGGGCTGAACACCTTATTACGCGGCCTTAAAAAATAATTCCTAATGAAAAGAAAACAAAACAAATGGGCAAATAGAGGAGGAAAAGTGCTCAAGAATGATACATCTCTCGATAGAAAATAATGGTGTTTTAAAGGAAGAGTTCAAGTTCGAAAATCGCTGTGGCGTTTCGATCATCTAGAAAAAACTAATCCGAAATTAAACCGCAAAACTTTTTCGGCAACCTAAGAGTGGAATGTTTAGAAGAGGTCATGAGTAAGTAGAGGGTACATCATTGATTGATTTCTCCCAAGGGAAATAAAGTTAGAGCTAGTTGTCGGTTTGGTCAATTTTTGTCGGCTGGACCTCCCATTTCGCAGGCCTAAAATTTGAAAACCCTGGAACGATTATGAAGCAAAACATAGTTTTTGCTCTCACGATTCTCTTCCAACTAGTGTGTAAGATGATATAAAAACATGGGGTTTTAGCGGAAAAATTTTTGGGTCTCATCCAGTAAGGGGGGGGGGACATTGTGATGCAACGTCAAGCGGCTGCCTGGGTGTGGGTACTTAGGACAGAACGCGACTTTTTCGCTCTTCGCAACGCGACATCGCGCGGCAGGCTGGCGCACCCGCAGCGAAAACAACTACGGTATGGAAGAACGCGCGATTGGAGCAGCTTTTTTTGCATGCGTGAATTTGTAAGTTTCTGATTCCTTACTT